TGATTTTTCCTTTTCTTTTCTGCCAGCAAATCTTCCCTTGTTTCCTGTAAGCTTAGCATTTCTAAATTTAATGATATGTGATTTGAATCCATTTTATTAATTTTTGTATCCAGGGCACCAACACGGAGTGCCCACAGTGACAAGACAGCCATGCCTGGTGAATTAATTAGTAAAATATTTCTCAAGGAAGGCTCCATGACTCATTCTTTCCTAGATCCTGTTGAAACGTACAGTATTGCAGGATGCTCATCAATTCAGACCATTGCAAATTATTTTTTTATTTTTACTTAGGGTCTTGAAGTCATCTGTCAATATCTTGACCACCCATATCAGAACCTGGACCCACTATAGAAAATAAAAAACGTATGTGTCCACATAAAATTTTAGAGAAAGATTTTTTCTTTTTCCTTTTTTGTAAATTGTTCATATAAAATTCTTGCTATTCCAAATACCTATAAAAGATCATCAAAGATGTAAAATATAATTTATTTATTCAGGCCCATTTGTATTTCCACATTTTATAAATTTCCAATTTAGGTTTTTCTATGTGTGAACCATGACATTATACAAATTTTCATAAAATTTCCTTGTTGGGACTTAAAAGTGACTATTTGGAAAGAGTTTGTCTCATGTTAGTTTTTAAAGGAAATTCAGGCTTGCTTATTTTAAGAAACAACATACATAACTTCCCTAGAGACTTTGGTTTTCCTAAAATAACTGCAAGCAGTTCTTATTCAATCAACCAATCGATACATATTTATTGACCTGCTCTATTTACTAAGACTATTAGGTGCTGACTATTCTAATTTATTTGACCTTGAATCATTGCTTTATTTGGGTAGCAGATATATAATAATAATGACAACACATCTTGTTTCATTTTTATTTATTTATAATTATCTTTTAGTTTCTCTGTTTGACCAACTTTTTTTTCCATATAAAGTTTTTCATTCTTCAGGGATCATAGTTCTTCCTCATTTACTATTAATCTCATGCTTTCTCCATGTATTTTTCCCTGTGCATTCCTTCCCCTGCCCCTGCTATTTTTCTGAATATTTAATTTGTGCTTTACTTATATATATCTGATCCTTGATATTTTTCTTAATTGTTAAGGAATAAATCTCTTCTCTAAAAAAAATGTTAAAGCTAGAGCTCACATGGGCAGCCCAGGGGGTTCAGTGATTTAGCGCCATCTTCGCCCCAGGGCCTGATCCTGGAGACCCAGGATGGAGTCCCATGTCCTTGGGCTCCCGGCATGGAGCCTGCTTCTCCCTCTGCCATATCTCTGCCTCTCTCTCTCTCTCTCTCTCTGTCTCTCTTGAATAAATAAATAAAATATATATTTAAAAAAAGATAGAGCTCACAGACCCAAATCCCTTTTCTTTTTTACCCCATTACCTAATAATGTTGGTCTCCTTCAAATTGCAGATTTTACTATACTGTAGCAGGAGGTGAATCATTATACTTCGAGACTCCTCCTCAACTGTAAAATTTTAAGGCTTTGACCTTTGCTCTATTTATTCCTGATATGAAAATAGAATGCTTTCTTCTTAAATTTCAGAGAGGAAGTTCGACTTCATACAATACCCACATTCTGCACCCTGTATATCAACTTCAGATAATCAGTACCACATTTCTCTAGTGGGCTCTCATTTTTGTTTTGAATTTTTTCTACTGAAAAAAAAAGTTTATTCCAGCCTTTTATTTTCTGATTAGATTTTACTTTGGATGTCACTATGCAGAAAAATTGATATGTGAAATGGAATAATGATCTGAATATTGATTGATCAAAATAAGTGCTCATGACCAGACATGGTGGAAGTTTTGAAGTTTTGAAGGGTCCTTAGGACCTGTCCAGTTCAATTACCTCAAATACTAACAATCTTCATAGATCTAAATCCCATTCACCAGCACTCTTCTTTTTCATCCCACTGGCCTGAGCTTTTTAAAAACAGTTTTAAACCTCTTTTTCCTTAAAATTTGTTTATTCCCCCCCCCCCCCAAGAAGTCTGTATCGAGTGTCTTCTATCATCTATTCCAAGAGTTCTACTATTCTTCCCTTCTGGCTTGGTGGGAAAGCTTATATTCCCTTGCTTGTGAATCAACATAAATCATGTTCTTTCATTTTTTTCTTGTTTTACTCCTGCTGTGCAGAATAAGAGCAAGAGAAGTTCCTATAGGTACTGGACTATCCTCTATTGACTCATGTAAAAGTATTTCTTTCCTAGTAAATATATCTCTGCTTTCCCTCAGCAAAATAGTCAGAGCCAAAAATAAGATGGTTTAGAGGTATCTGCAACCCTCATATGGCCTTGTACGTTGTGCTTAATGAACTTCTTCGGAAGTTTGATTTTGGCCATTCATTAAGGCCAGTCATCATTGAGAAGTGCATGATTAAAGAAAAGCACAAACTCAAAAATACTAAGAGCCATCCCATAATAGTGCTGTGCTCACACCTTAAGGTAGTTTTTTTGTACATACATACAGATACCAGAAAAATATAGTTCCTTACTTTCTTCCTACTCCTCTGCCCTTATTCCCGTTACACAGATCTTTCACGAGATATGAGCAACTTGCTGGGCTCATTCTTTGTACTATTAGTTATATTTTCAAAGTCAAGTTTGACTGTATTTCTTATGCTTAGTTCAATAGTATCTGCCCTGTGATGGTGAAGTCCTCCTTTCACAAAAGCACTCATGATTTGACGCAAGAACTCCTTTTATGACTATAATTGTTACTAACCTATACATTAAAGGATCAATGATCCAGAAGCTTCATACTTGCCTAGAAACAGTCAATAGTTAAACATTTTAAGGAATTCAGAAGACTAAACACAATTAATAGACTAGAGAATTTAGAAACATGCTGTGAATCAATGTTTCAGAAATAATTCACTATGTAAATATTACATTAGTTTAACTACAAAATTTTTAAAAAGCAGTATTTTCATTTAACCACGTAACTCCCAATCAAATGCCATGAGAAAATGTATCTTAATGCTGATGCTTGGTATATACTTTCCAGGTGACTCTTTGAACCTTTACTCATCAACCTGGGATATTAACAAAATTCAATATTCTTAGTCATTAATATTTTTAATGGCTTTGGACAGAGGATTAGGAGAAGACAATTCATACTTCTAAGTGTTTGATTTGGTATGATAGATGAGTGAAATAGATTCTAATCCAATAATGGACTGGCAATACCCAGCAGCACATCAATCAAGCAAATTCAATCAGAGGTTGACCTGACCATGCCCAGTTTCCCCCATTGGCTACAAAAACTTTAAGAATTTAGAAATAATAGAGTTGTAATGATATTCTTGCTCAAGTCCTTTATTTTGCAAATGAGAAGGCACAGGTCCCAAAAGCCATAGGACTTTCAGGAGCTAAGATGCAGAGTCCAGCTCTTTCTTCACTGCTCTATGTAGTGATCCAAGGTTTCATAGAACATGGAACGACACCCATAGGAACCAACTGACAGTGACTAAGTTAAACTGGTTAATTCATTCAACAAGCACTCCTCAGTTGCCTACCAAACACAGCTCAAGGACCCCACCTTGTTTCTTTAAAAGTCCAAATGCAGGGAAAGAGGTTCATTCTAGTGTCGAATAAAAACCTTCACCACATGGAGAACAGACATTATCTAAGCTAAATATTAATAACAACCCAGCAGACATATACATTAAATATAAGATTCTTCTTACAACAGCAACAATCAGGCTGTTCCAAAGTAACCGGAATTGGGCAAGCAACTCCTATCAATACAGTGTTTGGTCAAGGAACCGAAGTTCCCCACTATCTCATACGCTATTTCTAAGCCACCAGTAAGAATGAGACCTACTGAAAGTGCAGAAACTTAGTAACAGCTCGGTTGGAAAAATATATACATTTTAATGTGGTGGTGTGGGTTTAGCTACTTACAACTTTTAAAAACGTTTTACCTCAGTTGGTAAAAACTGCCTAAATCAATGCCCAATCAAGGTTTTTGTTCATTTTATTCGCTCTGGTTCAGTCAAATTTGTCGCTGGCATAATGTTTGGAACTAATTTTTAAATCTTTCAAAGTCACAGATTCAATCTTTTAAAATCTCCGTGACCCTTTCATTTTCTTCAACGATCAAAGAAAATGTATCCTAGTCTTGGTCTGCAAAAAACCCTCTGCAAGCTCCCAACTTCAGCTTGTTCGATGCTGAAATGCGTGGCCTGAGAGATCTCAGACGTCTGGAATTTTGTAAATGGTCCCTGGGCACTTTTTTCTTTTCTTTTCTTTTCTTTTCTTTTCTTTTCTTTTCTTTTCTTTTCTTTCTTTCTTTCTTTTTTTTTTTTTTTAGGAAGCCCTTGCCTTGCACAAACCTGCTCTTGAATTCACCCCAGGCACTTACACTTGTCTTGCACCCCTGACCTACCATCATCAATGGGCGCGTGTGCGCGTGTAATCTGCGAAGCAAAAGAAATTCTAAGACTTGGGCGTCGATGTTTGCGATAACCTGCTAACCTATTGACTTGTCCTTCGGCTGTTTCTAGAACACCTGGGAAAGACACCCGAGCCGGGGCGGGGGTGAAGAGGGGAAGGTGGATTAGGAAAGGGCGACGGTAATTACTTCCTGCACCGAGACCGGGTGGCTCTCGGGGCTCGGCCGGACCGCGGCCGGGAGGGCGGGCGAGGGGCGGGCGAGGGGCCGGCGGGGCACCGGCTGGAAAGTCGGGGGCAGAGAGCTCGGCGGGGCGGGCGGGGCGGGCGGGGGAGATAAAGGCGGGAGGCGGAGCCGCCGGGGCGGGCGGGGGCGCGGCGGGCGCGGAGCGCGAGCGGGAGCCGGAGCGGGCGCGGGCGCGGGGGCGGGGGCGGGGGCGGGGGCGGGGGCCGGAGCCGAGGCGGCGCGCCAGCCAGCGCGCGGGTGGGCGGACCGGCGGGCGGAGGGACCGCGAGGGCGAGGGCGCGGGCGCGGGCGCGGGCGAGGGCGAGGGCGAGCGGCGGGCTCCGCGCTGCCCCTGCTCCCGCGCCGCCCCTGCTCCCGCGCGCAGCCCCGGCTCCCGCGCACCCGACGGGCCGCGGCGGGGAGGAGTCCACCGAGTTGGCCCCGGAGCGCGGGCAAGTTTCCCGGGAAAGCGGGAGCAGCGGCGGCCGCTCGCCAGGTGAGCGCACGGGGCTGGGGGCCGGGGCACCCCCGGGAGAGGGGTCTGCGTGGGCGGGGAGGTGCAGCCTCACCTTTTCAGGTACTTCGCCTCTGTCCAAAGAGGGAGGCATCTTTCTTTTCCTTTTTTTTTTTTTTTTTTTTTTTACCCCTTCCCTCCCTCCCCCGTTTTTGAACCCACTTCCCTTCACTTTATTGGCTTGGAGGGGCGGCGTGTCCGGGAGGCGGAGGGGACCGGGCGCCTGAACTGAACCACCTGCGCGGGGTTCGCGGGCCCGGCGGGGCGCCCTGGCTCCAGGGGTCGGTGCCAGCCCCCCGACTTGGCGCCAGCGGGGGCTGGAAGGAGGACACCGCAAGGCCCGGCATTGAGTTTCTGATGCCGGTTTATCCGGTCCTCCGGCTGGTCTGGCCGAAAGACGAGCATCTCTGCAGCGGTGCCTCTTTGGCATCGGTCGCAAACTCCAGGACCTTGCTAAAAGCTCCTGCGAAGGCTGAGGACGATGGGGGTGGGGTGGGGGGGATTAGGAGACTGGGTGCCGGGGTGGATCGGGCCCCCTCAGAGGGGCTGGGCGGGGTGACGTGGGGAGAGGAGGGTCGAGGTGGCCTGGGGAGCGTAGGAACCGCGCGGTTGTTTCGTTGCTGCTGCTGTTACTTTGGCGCGGTTACCCGCTCCCTCTCCTGCCCGGTTTGAACGTCCTCATCAGCACGTTTCTGTTAGAGGGCTGAAAGGTGTTTGTTCCGTCTGAGGCCTGTCAGGAGTTATTTCCAACTAAGTTCACAGGTGCGAAGCCTGAGCCGCTGCACCTCCTCGCTCCCCTCCCTGCGGGTCCCCCCCCAACTTCCCTCCCACAGGGAAACTGTTCTGAATCCTTCCCAGGGTTATGAAAGGGAGGAGGGCCAGTACACAGTGTAGTTTGTGGTGTGCGTGACTTTCCCCTCACTATGGTATCAGAACCAAATCAAGACACTGGAGGTGTCTAATAGGACTCCCCTTCGGCAGTTTTTATAGTAATTAAGAGTATTATCTACAGTGTTTCTTTTTCTGTACTTTATCTCCAAACATTGCATTAATCCCTCTATATGCAGTTCTCTCTACTGTCACTGTGTCACTGGGTTTGAAAGACGAGAGCTTCTTTCGGACTCACATACACACACCAAAATACAGTGTGACAATATTCAATATTTGTCTGTCTTCCTGATTCAGTGGTCTGGCACCTGCCAATTCCAGGACAACATCATAACACCATATGCCTGCCTACAAAATTGAGGATAAGGAGAATGCTGCTGTTTTTCATGTGCAGGACAACCCTGGACTACCAGATTTTATTATTGTTTAAGGGGTTTTTAAGGGCTTCAGTCAAAGTGAATCAAATATACAGAACAAAATTACAATTCCACCCAATGCGTTCGAAAGGAATACAATTCCTGGACACTTATAGTTGACTGGTTATTGGAGAAAAATTAAAATCCTCTCATCACACAGAAAACATTTTGATTGAATATAGTCAATAAGAAATAGCACACATTGAATGCCCTGAGAAAACAAGAAGAATTTTTCTCGTGCCTCATTTGAGTTTTATCTCCTTTATTACAGTAGCATCCTCCAGAAAATGAGCACCTTGCAGATAGATGTTGGTATGTACTGACTAAACACCACATTTTTTAATACAGAGGCTTGGTGACAGTCCAAAAACATAAATGTTTTAAATCATTACCAACCATCTGTTCTCTCCCACTCACTTAAGGCGCAATCTTATTTTCACAGGTATCAAAACATACATCCACATTTCATACATTCCCATGAATATCCTGAAAGCTGCAGTGATATCTGATGTTGACCTAAGTTTGGCAACTGTTGTGTTTGGCTAGTTACACTATAAGCTCCTCTCCTTTTATTTTCAATGAAAGAAGAAATCAAAAAACTTTTAAAGCCTTTGGACAAAACTGATGTTATATACTCCAGTGAAATCTGATTGCTTTTTTTTCCCACCTTTTTGTTACCAAAGAGAAGCAGAAAAAAAACAAACAAACAAACAAACAAAAAAACAAAGAGAAGCTGAGAATTAGTACAGCTGCAGGCTCCTCCTGATGACATTCTTTCCCATTCTTCCTGGTCACAAGGGTAGCATTTGGTGCTCTAAAGCAGTGCATTAAACAGCCTCATGACTCCAGAAAATTAGCATGGTTCCAGAAGGATATAACCTCTTCCCATGAAGAATTTACAAAATGGGAGGCTAACTTAATATCCCAGACACCAAATTAAGTAGACCGAAGACATACACTTTCCCACACAGATGTTGGCTAGCAATATTACATAGAAAAAGAATAACATGTCTAAGTAGTAGTCTTTATATTTGTGTTTAGGAACTTGGATGAGTTTGTATGTAATCAGCGGATGGATTCATACCCTTCAGTTTGTTTATGTCATCATTAGAGCAATATTTTGGGTTTTGAATCTCCCCCTCAACCCCCCAATCCAAGAAAGCTTTCACATTTAGGGATGTTTGCTATAGCTACAACTGGAATGTTAGGACATTTTTCTCACCCAAAATTAAGTTGCATAATAAATATGTTGTTCCTGTAGTGGAAACAGAACCTGGGAAATTCTTTTTATTCAAACCTAGGTGTAATATTCCAAAAACACTTTCATACTGTTAAGGAAAAAGGTATTGGCAATCTTGACCATACTTTGCAAACAATTGATATGTACTAGAAGAATATCAAGAACCAAGGAAAGGTGAGGTTTCTGCCTTCTGACCTGCTACACTGCACTATACTGCTTTTGCCTTGGAAGTAAGTGTAAGATTCTCCTTACTTACTATCATGATAGCACTGAAGAGAATGAGCCCAAACTATAGACAATTTTGAAAGTTAAGTTGCCTTTAAAAATATGGTCTAATTTAAACCTTTGGAAATACATAAGAATGTGTTAGATCTTATTTTTCTGTTAGATCTTATTTTTCTGTATACTAAAAATGAATTATTGAGGGGATACAGTTTCACTATGTATAGTAAGCACTCTGAATTATTCATGTTAATGAGAAGAATAGAGGCAAATATAATCCAAAATCATGGTTATTTAAAAAGTCATTTGTTTTTGTCTTTGGAACATATTACATGTTTGGATTAAAAAAGATTTTCATTGTTATTGTGGGCAAGTTGCCTTTCTAATTATTTTGTTTTGTTTAGGTTAATTTTTAAATGAGTTTATATACCTCAAACACCAAAACCGATTTATAAGGAGGTGGTGCAGATGGGCATCCTGCCCAGAAACAAGCTGGGTAATAGAAATAAGCAAACCTGGTATGGCAACTTTGCAGTAAAATATATGTAATTCACATGAACATAATCAAGACTTGATTGTATATCTATTTAATGAATATTTTTTAAGAATTAGACATGTTCCTGGAAAAAAATAAAAATCAATCAAAATTTGAGAAATTCAATTCTACTCCACATGTAAAAGAGGTGATTGATATGGGTTTTTTTTAAATGATAGTGGACTACTCCTGAAAACCAAACAGAAATATTATGATTGATAAATCTAATTAAGCCAAATCTGTAAGCATGAAGTTTCACTAAAGCCTACGTACATAATGTGTATGTATTAAGGTGAAATCCTTACATATGTACTTTCTAAAGAAGAAACAGCAAGACGCTACCAGAATAAGGGGTTTGGTCTGTTTGATCTCAGTACCTTTGCTCCAAATCAAAGTATATTTCATTGAAAAGAATCTCTCAAGTATCTATTGTTACCGTGGACCTGGTTAGATAAAATAGTTAAAGTTCAGCAAGACTGGCAATTTAACAGATTTCTATTGTGTTTTTCAAAAGCTCTAGGGCAAAATTGGTTGTGGATGAAATAGTTGAACAAGAAGTTGATTCACACCATAGCACTGGCTGTTAAACACCTCGTTTATAGTCAGTGTTCGGTTGTATATAGATTTTGTTGAATTGTTAGTTCTATGCACTATTAGGAAACCTCTGTGGGGAAGGTTAGAGCTGCAAAAAATATATGATTAGAAAAGCAGATAAGAACATTTTTATTTCAAGAATTCAAAGCAAAAAGTAAAAATTGTAACTTTTACAGTAGTGAGCAGAATGGTAATAAAGTAGACGTCCCCTTCAGAGTGGTGACTATGTTCTCATAATAAATGTGCTCTCTACTGCAAGTGTAGGGGTACTTCTTTTTTGAGGAAACATTTTTAAAAATTTTTTTTTATAGGGCACGGCATATTTTTTTTAAGACTTGAGTCCTTGGACTGAATATTTTAAAAGAAATATTGTGGTTGGAAATATAATTGAGACCCACAGGATATATTTTATATACATTTGTTAATGAAATCAGTTTCTTTTGATCAGTGCCTAAGTCTTAGAATCAAAGTTATGCATTTTGTTATAGAGCTGGAAAGGACCTTTAAAGTAATTTATTCCAATGCCCTCATTTTACAGTTAAGGAAATGGGGACCCACAGTGATCACTATGAACAGCTAAAGGTCACACTGGTAGTTAGTGGCAGAGCAGAAACTAGAAACCTGATCTCCTGACTCATTCAGCTCCTGTGTAGTAAGTAGGGTAGTTAGATAGGAGAAGTTAACTCTTTCTGGCCATCAAGGTAACAACTCCATGTGATAGTCACAAAATGGTACAGAGCTAGATGTAGAAGCCCTATGACTTTTCTGTCTTCTGTCGTCCGCTGAATGGTCACCACAGACCAAACCATGGTTCTCAACCCTCTTAGTCTCTTTTTTTAATTGCAAATATTTTGTTTCCCCCTTCATATCCTGAAATGTAACTCATCAATAATTTAATTACTGAATATATCTGAAATGAAAAGAAGGATAAAATACAAGTTAATTTGTAAATAATAACTATACTAATCTCTGGGGATGACCTCACTGGAACACATATTAAAGAAGCAAAAGATTTGATGTATATATAATGAATAAATTTTGATTAAGGCAAATAGAAAACATCAGAGGGCATTCTATACAAGAAGTA